TATTACACGGGTTTGCATTTTGTCTAATCTTCTTTTCTTTTTCAGGTAAGTTAACATCCACCTCATCAGCTTGAAAATAAGAATCCGACGCCGGTAAAATTCCAAGCTTTATGACACAAATTGCTGGATGGTATAAAAACAGTAAGTAGGTAATAACAGAGTCAAACAAACGTTGCGTGAATCGGAATGTTATCGCCATGATTTAACGCTAGCGTGCGGCCGATCAAATCGATCAATCATCAGATAGGAAAGATCGATATCTTTTAAATCGATTCCCGATGTTAATGTTACGTATCTAACGACATTATCTAGTTTCTAGACTATTCGCTAGTCCAACTTATTATTTATAACAAGGTTTTTATGTAGTTAAACAACTATAAACTAATAAACATTAGCTTACAAATGGCGACTTATCGAGAACAGCAAATGTATAAATTTACATGTCTATCGTAACATAGGCGACTACGTACTGAGGCATAAAATAATTGTGCACAAAATAATTGTAACTCTTTATTGAAAAAAAAACCGACTGCAAAAGTTTGGTTATCGGCATTGACTTACAAATAAATGGACGACGGGTCTAATACAAAAACCACGAAAAAAATGTCCCAAGTCAACCTATTCGAAATTTAAATTGTAATGTCATCGCAGTATCGCGCTGTCAGTAGAACAAATGAAGACTAAAGCGGAGTTTAGCGCTCTGTATACGATTTTAGCGCCTTATAAGTGCGGACACTTTTTAGCGCGGACCCGACGTCCATATAATTGTAAGTCAATGGTTATCGGCTTTTTTCGATTTCCATGGGATCCTCTCATCAGACTCTGACTTCTTGGTGACAATGGGACTGTTACGAACTCCTTTGTACATTTTGTATTTTCTTTTCTGGTTGTCATGGAGATGGTGATTTATTGTTTACACGTATTGTGTCAAGTGAAAAGTCGGCTTATATTTGCGAAAAATTATTACTAATTATATAGATAGCCGAAACGAACCCGGAGCAGCATCAGGAACCGCCTCAAGAGTTATACCTTATCAAACAAAAACAGAATTTTCAAAATCGGTGTACGATTGATGGATAAATTGGTGATTACACGGACATCCCTGTAAAATTTGAAGATTTCCTTCGATTTTTATGGGATTCCCTCATGAGGTTATAACTTGGCGACAATGGGATCACCACGAGAATGCGCCCTTTCAAACAAAAAACGAAATTTTAAAATCAGTCACAATTCTTGGAGTTATCTGAAAACATGCATACAGCCGAACGTACAACCACCGCTTTTTTTTAAGTCGGTGAAAAAAACCAACATGCGCTTGTAAATTTGACGGGTTTGTTTTTCTTTTTTTTAATCTTTGATAAACTCTTGTAAAATGAACAATTTAAAATTTATATAAATTTTGATTTTTTTCCAATTATTACTCTTTTATCAGATAATTATATATTATTTTTATTATGGCAACGCATTCAACATAAAAAGAGACTAGAGTCTTATCTAAACATTTGTTCAGTAACAATGCAAAGAAACAAATGTTGTTTTATGGATCGACAAAATCGATCTTGCATAGCGTGAAATAGAGATTTAACCCTTGAATGCCAGCAAATCGATCACACACCGATACTACGATCGATATCTGTTGAATCGATTACGTATTCTAGAGTTTCACTTATAGTCCAAGGATTAAATGTTACACATCGTGCTAGAATACATTATAAGTGTGCTGCGTTTACGCCATTTATATACAGGTTGAAAAAAAAAACAACTGATAAGTATTTATTTATGTACGCAACTTTATTTTTACGCTCCCTTTTTATCATCGATATGCAAGAAAGGAGAGAATCCATATATTTACGTACAATAATTAATTATGATAATATTGAATTGCTTGATTAAAAATCTACTTTAACAAAGACCGACCTCTAAAATCTCTTATTCGTTCTCAGAAAAATCTGCGTACGAATGAGTAGTAAGTAAAATGAAATTAAATAAAAATTTGTTTTATTTTTTCTCATCACAAAAATAAGCTTATTTATTTATTTATTAGTAACACTAACATTATGTTCACAACACATTTTTATCTTATTTGACTTGGGTGTTCTACGTTGTAAACTCAACAATTATAAGTGTTGACGGCAATTTCAAAACAATAATCACAAACTAAATTAAAATGTTTGATACATTAACGTACTTAAATAATTTAAACTAGATAGCAATGGAATACACTGAGAAATAACATAGGAACTTAATTAATTATTTTAAATTTTTATCTTCTAGTTAATTTTCTTTTGAAAGACTTGATATATATATATACATATATATATCTAAATCGGGCATGCTGGTTTGTGAATGACTGGTGCCCGAGTTATGGTTATTTATTCCTTATAGCCTATATTCTTTTCAAATGAAAAATTAAGTGCATAAAGCTTTTACTTCCCCGAGAAAAATGCAACGGATGATAAAATATTGAAGTTATGTTTATGGTAAATGGAATTCATTAAGATACTAGCTCAACTCCAATTCTAATTTTTCCCATATTAATACGGGTCATTTTGCTTGGGTCGAGCGGCAAGCACACTGGCTTTGTTTCAGAATTTACTTTTTACAAACGAAATTAAATCCATTTGAAAAATGTGTATATATGTGTAAATATACGTGTTCTATTTAGTTAGGTTGATAAATAAAATTTTGAGGTAAGTTTACGTTTTTTTTCTATCATGAATTTTTTTAGCAATTGTGTTTTCACACCGTATACTCATCAGTGTTTTTCCTCAATTTTACTATATATTTTTCCAAAGTAATTAATTCAACACTTTCACTGTTGTGCGGAATCAATCAACCATTTGACGTTGTATAGACTCATAAAGACTAAAAGGTAACATTATTTCTAGATTAGCCTGAGAGAAAGAGAGAGAGTGAGAGAGACACTGTGTAGTTATGTAAACAGGCAGCTATGTAAATACCACTGTGACAGCCCCAACAGCAAAATTTCACGGTCCCAGGTTCGATTCCCGGGCCGGGAGAAACATTTATGGCCTACATCTATATCTCTCGTGAGTTTGGTTGTAATTTGTGGTTGTCTATGTGCGTGTCCGTGTCGCGACAGGGTTTCCCTAGTGTGTGCGTTATTATTATTAATTAAATTAAACAACTACTGTCAAACATCCATTCGAAATAATTACTGTCAAATAACTAATACTCGATCAAATTAAAAGAGGCATAATGCGAATGTAGCTTCATAAATGTTCGACATTGTCTTTTGAGTTTTTCTTTATAATATCAAGTGATGGGACGAACAAATTGTGCTGCGAGCTTTAAATCGCAAATCTGAGGGCACTGCGACTGCGCCTGTCACCCTGAGACATAACGTCGGGGATAGTGCAATTATGAGTCTACATTTCGGTCATTTAGTCGCCAAATCAAACTTAAATGTCGTGCCAACCAAAATTAGCGTGATTTACGGGAATCTATTGTTATCAGTCCGTAGATAACATAAATTAATGCTTACTGTGCAAAAATTAAAATCGTAGCCGTTGAAATAACAAAGTAATAACGTTAAATCACTCTCCTGTTAAATTTGGTTTGTTGCAGATACGTACTTTTTACCCATACCTACTACATACGCAGATTTGCACTATACCCGATGATGAGTTGACAAGTTCCATGTGACTGTAATTTTATCAGCAAACTTACCCTTACCATTCAAAACCGGAACGCAGAATGGTCACATTACTGTTTGGCGGCAGAAAAAGGTGGCAGTATTTCTCTGGACGAACTCTTTCGTATTTTCGTATATTCGTAGATTTGGTCGAATATTACTTATTTGACAGTAATTGTTTCGACAGATGTCCGACGGAGATCCTTTTTGAAAATGTGTTACACATAATTATTTATTAATATTACTTCATACATTCAAATTGCGTCTCAGACAACAATAGAAACCTTAGCATTATTAGCACACGCGAGACTTATTACGATATGATCAATCACCGATAGCACTTTACCGATATCGATAGAGCTACTCCGAGATCGATAACGTTGAATCGATTCTTTATCAATCAAGACTGTACTATAATCTGATCTATTAAAAAAATATATTAAGTCGTATGGGATTACCGCCCAAATTTATATATTTTTTGTTATTCACATAAAAAATAAGAAATCAAGTGTTAATTATGATTTAAAGATTGCGAGACCAATTGACACCCTAGTAAAAACATTTTACAATATCAAGAAAATCAAATATATACATGTTACAGATTTCAATATGCCTATTGAAAAAGACAAAAAAGTATCGAATAAAAGATTAACTACATTATCTATAGGCTTATCAGAGAGAGGGCCATTTCTAGTTATTAATAAAAAAATGAAGTAAATTGCTTTGTGCACAGTCAACAAAAAAGTAAGAGAAAAGAAAAATATTGGTAAAAATAATGGACATGAAAACTAAATAGGCGATTTTAATTATTTTCATAAAATTTGGTAACTTTAATTACATATTAATAAAAACTTTGTATATGTAAAATATTGTAAATGCGTAAGTATATGTAAGTGTATAAAGGTTGATAAGTATTAAATAAATTTTAAAAAGTTTTGAAATTTATATCGTTTTACTAAAAAAAATCATAAGCAAATAGGCAAATAAAAATCATCTTTTGACAACCATAATCTAAAAATTTCCGGAGCATCTCTTCTTCATAATCTTTAAAAAAAATCGCCCCACGTTTATGGTTTGCTTTTTATTTGACATTTTATACAAGTTTATTCAAACAACGATAGGATCGCGACTTTATCTTTCAATGCAACGTTACCGCGAGCGGGTGATAGCATCTCGGGCCATTGCTAGTTAAACCAACCTGATAAGGACTCCCTGTGTGTGTTACTGTCTGTGTGTGAGCGGCCGTCTGTGAATTAGAGGGAGGGGAGAGCTACACCAGCCAGTCACTCTGTTTACGCGGCAAAAGTATGACGGCTCGAACGTTCGAAAATTAAGTTTTGTTGTGATGTTATTGTGGTTGCGTTATTTGAAACAGCTTGAGCTGGCGTGTGCAGAATTGCCGCCAGGTGGCGCTCGAGACAAAAACATGTGTGAGTTATGTTTACATTTGAAAATATTTTTATGTGAAGTTGCCCCTCTTGTTTTTCATTTCAAAATTGCATAAATTATTATTGATCCAATTTTGAACTAAGATTTACGGTTTTTTGTTTAATTTTCGTATTCCAATTTTAAAATCTTTACTTTCGTTTTTCTTTTCACAAAAATCAAATAACATCCTTAGTTTTGTTCGAAGAGTATTTGTAACGACAAATATAATATTATAAACATTAAGTTTATTCGATATATCAAACAAACAATGAACAATAAGATGCTTTGATAAACGTTACGAATCATGTGCAGTCTTATAACATGTGAACGTACCTACTACAATTTTAAATACAATTTTATCTTTGGTAGTTATTATATGCCTTTTCTGGGAAACTCGATAAGAAAATCGTTAGGATTTTTTTATCTCGTTGTTTTATTTTATCGCGTCTTGGTTTGTTTTGTAGCGGTTATTTACATTGTTAACAATACAACAGAATACGAATATAACTATATCGCTCACAAAAACGTTATAAAATACAATGACAGCGACTACAAAATATTTAATAACTTCTTTATTATTTTGTATTGTACTAAATATAGTTACATGTAAATAAGTTTCGACCTTATGCCCGAGGCTTGTTGAGTATTTATTGCAGGGTTTTGAGTGATAATTACCATAATAATTATTTTGATAAATATACTTTGATATGTAATTAATTATATTTATAAAATTGGAGCAACAATAGCAATATCCTTTCTTGTGTTTTTATCACAAGAAAATCATAAACTAAATTGTTTCTCAAAGATTTTTCTTCGTGTTTTGTTTTTTCATTGTTATGTCACTAGTTACAATTTAAGTTAAAAAAAAGAAACTATGAATCAGCACGAAGAAAATAAATATCTTGATAATTTTATCGCTCTTATTAAATGTGATTGTGGACCTTACAGCAGCACAATTAAAGTTCAGACGCTTTCTGTTAGCCCATCATTTAAATGAGACATTGTTGGACCCTATTTTATATGATACTTTGTAGTACTGATTTTTATGAAATCTACTAACATTGCATATTGTCGTGAGCTTTTGGCACTCGAATTTACTATGTATACTTGCCTGGCTGACGGACTTATGGATACAAATGGATCAATTTTCTTTTTCAAATGTTTCTGTCTTTTGTTCTGTCTAATAAAGAAAGCCTGGAGTTTAATATTAAAAGATAATACATCTTTTTAATGAATAGAATAGAATAGAATAGACATTTATTGCAACGCCACAACACATAGATACAAAAAAAAATATTTATACCACTTAGACAAGCAAAACAAAACAAAAAGACGTAATTAACAATATTAAAATAATATAAAATAAGACAATAACAAACAAAGAGCACAACAGAAAAATACTAAATATAACAACTACAAATGTTGTACTGTCGTGTGTGCGGTTATGGCGTACGCAAAAGGACTTCATTCAGCTTATGCCACAGCCGCAATTGACTTGTGGCGCAATGGACATCTAAAAAGGAGGAGGTTCTCAATACGATTGTGTTTTTTTTGTATGTATGTTACCCGATTACTCATTTGTGAACCGATTTTGAAGAATATTCCACCTCTAAGGGTGGCAAACTAGGGGATGAATCCAATATCGCGCACTTGCCGGTAATCGATCTCAATAAAACTTGACAAATAGATGTAATTCCAAGAGCTTTTATTGTCGTTTTTTTTTATAAAAAAATTATAATTAATACGTATATGAAAGACGCTGAAGTGCGGTGTTAAATGTAAAAGTCAAAATACTCCATTCAAAATCAACGTTAAATCGTTCAAATAAGGTTTTAATTTGTAATATCGAAATATCGGTTTCGATACTATAATAAGTGACTTTGCAACCGTACGTGCAAAATTAAACCTTATCGAGATTACTTTATGATACCAAATGACGGGATAAACTAGTGGTGCGAATAGGGGTAAGCGACACGCCTCTGCATAACCGTTGCAATGCGACTTAGAACTTTAAATCACAACGCTATGAGGGGCACTGCGACTACGCCCGTCACCCTGAGACATAAGTTGACAAGTCCGTGTACCTGTAATTTAACCTGCACCCTTACCCTTCGAAACTGCAACGCAGTAATGTTTTGGAGGCTAAAGGTGCTGGTTAACTGGTGGTGCCTCTCAGATCTTTGTGATTTAAAGGTCTGAGTGACACTGCAACTGTCAGGGACAGGCGTGACGCTTACCACCAGGCACACGACATGTTCGTACCGTCACTTAGTATTATAAAAAAAACCGGAACGCTGTAAGGCTCACATTACTGCTTGGCGGCGGAAATAGGTAGCTTTATTGCTATTATACTAAATGACGGGACGAACTGGTGGTGCGATTGTCCCTATCTACTGACCCGAAACATAGGGTTTTCCGGAGAGACTACGGGCTCGACGGGAAGACCAGGGTACAGCGGGCGTCCGGGCCAAGCCCTCCGCCATTGCATGTATCCGGGGCGTCTGTCTCGTGAGCAGCTAGCGGGTCTTAGTAGCGGTCTGCCTGTATGCGAGGAGATGCGCGGGGCACGTGACTTGCCCTTTAAGTTGGAAGCTATGTCCGGATATTGTCGCAAGACGCTGCGACTGGCATCTCGGGCACTAGCCCGGAGAGCTAGTAGAGGATAAGCTAGATATCCTCCGGTCCCTCCAGCCGCTTAGGTTATTGGGAACTGGAGAGACGTCGTTTTTCGGCGTCGGGAAGTGAGCGTGCCTTACAGCTCCGCCGCCGCTGAGGAGATTTGGTAGTGGACTCAGAATCGACGACTTAGCGGTGGACTGGTAGCTGTGCAATGCGCAACCGGAAAGTGAGCGTGCCTACAGCTCCGGTACCTATCTGGAAAATAGGGAGGGTACTGTACGTGCACCCGGGGCGGCTCTCCCGAGGCACTGGCCTCTCGAAGAACCGGATGAAGTCAAGTAACAGAGGTCTATGAGAACCCTGTACATTGGCTGATCTGGGATCAGAACCTGAACTTGTAAGGTTCTTGTGCGCGCACAGGTTATAGTGTCCCTCTCGTATGCCCTAAGGGTAAGTAGGGAGGGTCACTATAATCAAAACTAACATAGAAAGATATGGTGCTTGGTGGTGCGACTGCTAGTCCAAAGTTGCCACTTGGTATGTAGCAGAGCCCTCCCATAGATGGCAGCAGTAAAAATAAGAAATAGTGCTACACTTTGGTAGAGAATCGACGTACCGCCTAGTATCTCATGTTGCGGAAAAACCACCTAACAGTTACATTACAAATGCAATTTGCTTACTAAAAAACAACGATATTTTGAATTTAAATTAGCGTTTTTGCAAAAAAAACAACGCAGATTATTAAAAACAGTTTTATCAGTAAACAGTAAAAGTTAATCAGTTGACATACTCGCAATCACGACTCGACCTCTTGTAGAAGTTAATTGCTTTTCGAAATTTAACGGCTTTTCTTTCTGAAAATCCTGCAAAAGCAAACGTTTTTTTCTAACCTTGCCACGTATTTATTTACTACCTAAGTTAAGTGAATTATGATAATTATATCTCTACATTCAGATCTCATTGAAAAGTCTAACTTATAAATAATTCTAGTGTAACAAGTTTTTGCATTACCTGACTCACCTATCGTAAGTTATCGAAAGATTTTATTTAAATAAGTTTATTTTTTTGATATCAAGTGAGGGGACAAATTGTGGGTCTAGTGGCAACACGCGTGTCAATAACAGTTGCAGTGCCATTTAGAGCTTTAATACACTAAGATCTGAGGGGCAGCGTCCGTCACCCTGAGACATAAGTTAACAAGTCCCATGTGCCTGTAATTTCACCAGCACCCTTACGCTTTAAAACCGGAGCGCAGTAATGTTCACATTACGACTTAACGATGATCTCTTTCACGAGGAGGTCCTCTGCTACTAAGTTTTTAATTAAAATTTAAACTAAACAAAATACAATAATAAATTGAGTTCCTCTAAATATTTATTTCATACATGTCACGTTGAAATTAATACTGTCACTAAACAAAAAGTCCATATTTGATTACCACTCACGCGATGCGCTCCTCCTACCGCAAAATGGCGGCTATTTGGTTTCGCAAATTAGAAAAGCATTCAGTTTAAATACAAGTTTAACTACAAGTTTAACTACTAAACTAAATAACTATAAATACTCTCCGTACTACCAACAAAAACATCGCAAATAAAATGCAGTAATACACCGCAAATCCTGCACTTAAAAAGCACTAATGAAATTATTGGTGTACTTGGATAAATATGTTAATATTCCGTTTGAGTGGTTCTAACGTTTACCATGAAATTACTCCTTAAAGTATAGTTTATAAACATTTATATTCAGGGTAGACTTAAAAAACGCTACTTACGGTATGTTTTCAATAAATAAACACCGAAATCACCAGCCCAAACAATAACACACACGATTGTCGTGACGTATTTTTGAAGTTGTTTATTTTTTTTAAATGACAGACCCAGGCATTACAAACTTTATGGTTTGCTAGAGTAGTTACCGAAATAGCAATTAATATTAGTTCTTTTACCTGTTATAACTTCGATATCCGATAAATCGGTATAAAATCATCACCACCTCTAGGTGTGGTATGCGTCTACGGCTGCATGAGACATTTAATGTGTATAAAACTAAGTTTAAATTTGGAAATACGATGTTTTCGTTTTAGATAGATAGATTACTCGTTTATATGCTGAATCACAGTACATTACAAACAAGCATATGACATAGGTACAATGGTAATCATAAAGAAAAAGGCTTGTCTAGGTTTGCGGGTATGGTCTGGAGCGTTTAGTTTGTTAGTTTTCTTGACTGTAGGATATCAATAGCTCTCTATAACAGATATAATGGTGACTGATGTCCTATACCCAGCAGTGGGACTATTAAATAGGCAACCTATTCTTATTATTATTCACAGTTTGGGATATAAGAAAGACATGTACATAATAAACTTATAATAAAAAGT